ATGATCAATAAACAAATGAAAAAATGCACAACATCACTAATCATCAGGAAAATGAAAATTAAAACCACAATGATATATCACTTTATCCTGTTAGAATGGCTTTTAGTAAAAAGTCCTAAAGCAACAGATATTGGCGTGGATGCAAAGAAAAAGGAATGCTTATAACAGTGTTGGTGGGATTGCAAATTAGTACAACCTCCATGGAAAACAAGTCTGGAGATTCCTCAAAGAATTAAAAGCAGACCTACCATTCAATCCAGCAATCCCACTACTGGGTAGCTACCCAAAAGAAGAGTAATTTTATCAAAAATATATCTTCACTCAAAAGTTTATTGCAGCACAATTCACAATTGCAAAGATGTGAAATCAACCCAAGTACCCATCAATTCATGAGTGGGTTAATAAAATGTGTTATATGTATACCATAGAGTACTACTCAGCCATAAAGAAGGATGAATTAATGCCTTTTGCAACAGTTTGGATGGAACTGGAGACCATTATCCTAAGTGAAGTGTCCCAAGAACTGAAAAACAAACACTACAGGTACTTGCTAATAAACTGGAACTAACCAATGAGCACAAATGTGCACAGAAGAATGTAAAACTTAGCGGAAATCAAGCATGGGGGAGTGGGGAGGAGGCGATGGGCAAAAACCTACCTAACAGGTACAGTGAACACTATTTGGGTGATGGGCACACTTAAAAATTACAAAACTGTGACTCAAGCATTACAAAATGAACCATGTAACTAAAAACATTTGTACCCCCTTAATATTTCTTAATATTTTGAAATTAAAAAAAAAACAAACAAGAAACAAAAAAACCAAAAAGCAGCATTTTATTTTCAAAGTTTTGGTAAATACTAGTTAATTTTACTGTGGCACTTGTCAAAATTATAGTGTTTGTTTTTTCAAAGTCATGGAGATACTGAGATTGTCACTATAGATGTCTCTTTGACTTCCGTAACGGAAAAGAAGAGTTAGCAGGAAAACATTATTTGAGCAATTTTCATCTATTCAAAGTAGTCTAGAATGTGTGAGATTAGGTAACCGTTATATTCTCATTAAATTGTTGTACAAATTGAGAGTCAATAATCTGT